ATTCAGAAATATATCTCTGATGGCCTAAATAATTTTTTACCGGGCATCAGTGATACTCACGGTGTGATATTGGTAGGACATCTCAACAGATAGATAGTCAGTTTGTATCACGATTAGTTTTTTAAAACACCTTACCTTTGAAACTGTTTGTTATTCACTTGTCTTTACGTGTGATGGAGCAATTTCCTTAACATCACGACAAACAGATAATTAAAATATTAGTGCATTCACTGTACACCTACAGGTTGACGGTGCCAACGATTTCATTCAAATTATAATTTCTTACTACATCTTTTATTAAAAACTCGTAAATTTGCGTGTAAAAGAAAAAACTGGACAAAAGTGCCACCGGTAAGAGATTGAAATTTTGTGGGCAAAACTAAATTTTGAAGGTTGTTGGTTACATCACGTTAACTTTCGTGTTTTTTTTTTAAGTTTATGCTAAAATTTTTACACGGTATTAGCGTTTTGTGTTCGCTCAAGCCTTGAATGATAGCATAATGCATCTATCTAGGGAAATTACATAAAGCACCTAGGTCTTGAGTGCTTTATGTGTCGCATTTGATAGAGGGTGGCTTTTAAGGCTAACGGTTAAAATTCAAAAATTTTTTTTCGACTATCGTTTAAAATTTGTCAATTTTGACGGCTTTCGGTAAATCCCTTTGAGACCTTCTTGATTAAAAAATAAGCATAAAGCGAATCTTTTTTTAATTCCAAACTGAGTAAAGCTCACTTTCTTTCTTTTTGTGGCTTAGCCCAACTCGTATTCGATGAAAATGGTCGTCGAAAATAAAGAAGATTTAGGAACAAACCGACCTGTTGTGTTTAAAACAGAGCTTAAGCTCAAGTTGAAACGATATTGTCACACATAGTTAGAAGCAGTTCAAGTGGACCCCACCACCTAATCAACCTGTTTCCATGGTTCACTCTCCTCTTGCTTCGGTAAAGAAACCTTCTCGAACGAGGAAGAGAGACGACCCTGGGAACGAGGTGGCCGTTTCATGAGATATGAATTCGTATGCTCTCAACACAGCTAGCTAGTATTCTTGTAAATGTACATTTTTATCAAATGGTCGTCCATAGGGCTGATAGAAAAAAAATAACGTTCCCGCTGTCTATCCATTCTCTATCTCAGTTGCCAAGGTCACTTTCCAAGTGCAGAAGATAAGCAACGGGCTCGTATAGTGACAAAAAATACGTGGGTCTTTGATAAATCAGATTTTGATCGAGTCTGAGATTAAAACAAAACTAAAAATGAAACGTTTTATCTACTTTATGTCATGGCATGGATCAGATTGATCGAGATCGAAAGTTGTGGAAAACAGAAGCACTTTCAATTTTACTAATTTCCCTTATGAACGAAAACTTATGTTTTGACGTCATATTTGATCAGTTGTCGTACATCTTTACATCATTTTCCAAGGGTAAACTGCATCTCAAACTCTGGGCCATTTTCGCTGATTTTTTATATGTTAAAAAAATAACAGAATGATGATCTCATTTCATACGGCTTAATAATTAAGGGCGTACTTGAAACTGTACTGAAAGACGATACATTCAAAGAGAAATTTTCGACACTGAGAAAACTTAATTCTGAAAAAGCTGTTTTGCATATTCTCCATTTTTAACTGAATTTCTTAAATCTCTTAGAAAATGAAGTGGCGCTTCGAGCCTCTTTGAAAATCGGTTCGGCAAACTTAGATTTGGAAAATATAAAAAAAAAAACACCTTTTTTTTTCAAAACTTATATAAACTAAAAGCTTACCGTTTATCATTTAAATTGGGTCGAATAGGTTCGATCTGTCACACGAAATGTTTTTTTTTTTTTAATGACAGGAAGTTAAGTTTGAACCTGGTTTAGATAATAACGTCTTGAACTTTTTTTTCATCCTAAAGATGAAAATAGGGTGTAGACAAAACTGAGAAAATAGAAAAACGCAAGCTTTGCGAAAGTATCTGCATTAACATGTTGTTCAACCCTTGCCTAAAATTGCTTTCGAAAGAAATGTAGGAGGCCAGTTACGGAAAATATTTTAACTTATCCTGCGACATTTCCTATATGGGGCAAAAATAATTTTTTCTGCTGCACAAGATTTAAGATTGAAAAATTCAACAACTTGTTTCTTAAAACCGACACACAAAGATTTGTCAAATTGATCCTGGCTTAAAATTGTTTATAGATAAAACCGGTTCTGATTCCGTATGGGAATAGATAACTAACAATGAAGATTTACTTACAAATGATTCTAACTGTTAGAAATGATAACTCTGTGCCTATCTTGGTTTATCACTTTCACTTGCTTGCTCCTGTCTGCAACATCGACATACAATGTTATGCGGATTTTGTTAATTGAAAATCGTTCTAAAACGTTTTTCGCAATCTCGTCGTATCTTCAAATCTGGAGTGTTTACTCATAAAAAGTAAACATTACGCTTAATTTGTGCCCAAAAAGTGACAATAGGGGCACGCTTCCACTACTAGTTGACAGAAATTCACTCATATGCATTTTCATTGTTTTACTTTCCATTTGAGTTTCCAAATTCTAGACTCGATCAGTATCGTCAAAAAGCTTCTCTTTTTATTATCCGAGTAATGAGGAAGTCTTGTTAATTAATTCTCAAAGTTTGTCTTTCGCTGGTAAGGTAAACTTTACAGAGAAGCTGCAAAAAAAATTAAACTTTTGTCTCAAATGTAAATACGAAAATACAGCTGAAGAACCGAAGTTTAAAAAACACATTCACGTACACAAGTTTAAAACACTGGATTCATCTTAAATAACTTATTCGCAGTTTCGCGAGCTGCTACGCTCTCAAAATTAACAGTTTTTTTTTCTTGAAAGATATCTATATATTCGGGATTTACTCTAGCTTTATATTTTTCTCTCAGAGGTAATTTCATTTTGCGAAGAATACCCTCGAAAATTAAGTTGTCATTTCAGTACAGGCAAAATCTACATTAATTACGAAACAGCTCTTGATCTCTTTTGTTCCTTTGCATGAGGGTTCGTTTGCGTATCTGTTCATCTGGACCAGTTTTCAGGTGGTTTTTCTAACCTTTTCACACGATGATAAGAAGAAGGAGACAGTTTTCAAACTGTCTTTCATTAAAATCAATTTTACAGGAAAAGTTGTTTAAACAACTGCTGATTTCAGTAAATCCCTCGGAAATTAAATGAAGCTAACATGGCGAGTGTCGTGAAATCAAATCACAAATGTACGTCATCGCGAAAAGCTTTCGTAATGCGTCAGAAGATAATACAACCGCTTGTGAGCGATATAGAGCTTTTAGACAATTGCCATATGCTATTTCCTGTTTGCCAGGTCAGCATCACAGTGATAAACCGTTGGTACAAGCAGTTGGAGCTGCAGAGTTTTCTTGAGTAGCAAACCATACTCAATCACGTGAAAACGTTGTTGCGAAAAGGCGATTTTCTAGAAGCGGTTCGAGTCGTAATTTTGCGGCACTTCATTTTGGCTAACTAACAATAAATGCTTCATGAAAAACTCACATCACCTAATTCATGCTACTTCATGATTCAGTCTAAGATATAATCTAACATTAAAAATCACAAGCATTATTTCCTTTTAATTACTGGAAGTTCAACAATGCTTTGGGCTGTTTACAGACTTTCACACTTTTGACTGTCTCCCATATTCACTACTGCAAGATAATCTCCAAACACGGGCTAAACAAAGGCTCGATTATCAATATTAAAACTTACATTTAAGGTGTTTACTAATGGAATAAAAAGAGAATGAGCCATTATTCTCCGTTATTTCAATTCTGTTTCACTGTTTGCAATGTACAACCGAAAATTAAAAAGAACGAACTGAACTGAGAGGCAAATTATTAATCATTTTGAATTAAAGATGCTACTCTTCTGTTAAAAATATAGGGATATAAACAAGAATTTTAAGCCGTTTCCTCTACAAGTGAAGTTTACATCTCTTTAAAATCTTATTTTAATACACAAGTTTAAATTCAAGCTGGGAGTTTTGGAAAGTTTAACTGGAAGATAAAATGTTACCCTAATCCACAAAACGCAGTATCGGTACAAAAAACATTACAAGTGCGTGTGAATTTTTCTTTCAATTGCTGTATCTGTGGTCAGTTGTAGTTTTACAAAACCAAAACCGTGCCATGCTTTGAAGCAACGTTTGGGGACGGAAATTAACTCGTAACCTTTGCTTATAAGGTGCTGAGAGAAAGAGACTTTCTTGACAGATGCGATGATCGTTAAGGCTTAAGAAAAACCCCTTACTTTTCATAAGCTAATTACCCAGCAATCGCACTCACTCATTCCCAGTCACTCTTCAGTCACTCCAAGCCTCTATTTCATACCAAGGCTCGGTTAAATTTTACGATAAAACCTTTATTTCAGTCTTCAGTCTCGACACAAATTACAAGTCCGAGGGCACATTTTGGCCATATGTACATAACTGTCACAAAATTCAAGATGTTTTTGACACATTACAGGATCCTGGTCTCGGCAAGCTGCAAAGGAAATAAAATGCACATAAATTAACAAAAACCAAGAGGAATTAAATAGTCTTTATGTCAAGAAGGTGGCATTGCAAGGAAGCTATTATCCAAAATGTCGACCAAAACATAACACTTATCATTAAACTCGTTTCTATTGTCTCTCTTCCAACCCTCCCCCAACTCCCCCTGAAAAAAGAGTGCGAAAGGAAAATACAGGTTAGGAGCGAAATACTAAGTCGATAAAACTGTAAAGTTTAAGCTTAGCTTGTAAGAAATATTTCTCCACTTTGTATGGGACTTCGAAACTTTTCCAATGGTAACATAACGACTGGTCAAGAGTCGACTAGTCATTATACATATTTCTCGACTGATTAACTACTCAGGCTTGACCAAATAAAGGTCCTCCGAGGGTTGGTATAGAATTCTTGTAGAATGATGTTTAAAATTTTCAGCTACTATTTTGGACAAGTATGGTCCATTTGGAATAATGATGTAACATATGTACTTCTCTCATTACCATCTGGAGGCTGATCCACTTCAATTTTGTACACGAAGTTAACATCCTTGGCACCCGCACAGCTCGATGAAACTCTTGCGCATGGCAAAAAGTCGTGACCGAAGCAGTAATTTGATTGACCATCAGAATTGTAGGCAACATCCGGGTTCTCACCAGCCCAGCACTCTGCCCAAAATTGAATTCCGAAATATGCACAACCATCAGTGACAGTCTTGTTCGCGCATGCGCACACAAAGCTGAAGAAGGAAAGAAAAATTAAGGGGTGCTTGATTTCAATAAAATTTTAGTCAATCTTGATTTTAAATAATTCGGTATTACAGGGAGCAAATGAATTAGAGTTAACTGTATTTTCAGTTGAATAAACCTTGCAATTGTAGCGGGGAAAGGACACACCGACCGCAGGGAACCACATGGGGCAAACTAAGTGAAAATGTCCGGAAAACACAAAGACACCTTACGCAAGAAGCATACTTTTATAGCAACTTCTTATTTTCTGTTCAACACCAGATACTTTGAAACCCAAACAATTATTTACCCTTGAGTAACGATTTAGGACAATAATATAGATGACATGATTATTTTTCTGAATTATCTGCTACTTACCGCTCAAGAAAATCGTTCCAGTTTTGCCAATCTATGTTTTTCCTTTGGTCGAGAAGCATGTTTCTAAATGGTCGACGTTTATCTACAAAGCATCCTACCTTGCTATAAGAAACTCCGCATTTTTGAAGCGCTGTACATAGAAGAAGAATTATATCAGATTAGTATATACTACTTATACAAATAGTACTCTTCTCGCGCGTTGATTGGCTGGTTCGAAAGTGATTAGCGTTCACTATTCACCTCCACTTCTATGAATAATTGTTAAATATTGACATTTTCGACAAAATTAGAAATCCAGAAAGGGGGTTCAGGCGTCTTTCAGATCATTCGAGATTACTTATGTATGTAACAAGTCTTAATAAAAACCTAATAGCCTTTGTCTCAGTCTTCAAGACTAACCCACTTGAGTTGTAATAAGTAAAGGTATTTAGCAGATGATTTGATACGATTTGAATAACTAACTTTCAGTTTTATTTGACTCGTTGACAATGGAATAAGCAGAATTTATCCTTCTCGAATTTTTCAAAGAACTGGCGAAATACGCCTAGATTAGAGAGCTGTGAAACATGCAATCATTAACTAACCGTGAATGTACCTTAAGAGAAACTCGAAAGTAAAGGCTCGATGGAGGAGAAGTTTACCTGAGTTCGTGCCTCTGCTATAAATAATCACCATCATCATTACAAGTGGTAGTTCTACAGCGAACGTGAGGTTAGCATTGGCCATGGCAACAAAATATCTTCCAAAGAAATTAAAACTGATCAGAGTCAATTAAGAGAAATTCTTCCAAAAAATGAACCTTCTAAAAATTTACTCCTTTTCATCATTATTAAATGAATTTTTTTTTACAAACCTCGCTACCAGAACGTCAAAACCTGACTTGTTTGGTATTTGATCGAAGATTTGAAAGAGTTCGAGTTTTGGTGGCAGATTTTAGAATTATAGCTCTCGGGTTAGCCGCCGTTTTCGGAATCAAGGCATTACTTCTTTTGAACCACACGAAAGTGACGCTGTTTATGATGTTAAACGAGCCGAAAACGACAATGAAATAGCGGCACCTTATTTGATCATGCTTGCTAAGAAATAACCTGTCTGGAATACAACTATTACTACAATATCAATTTAAGACATATTGCGCTTTTGTTGAACGGTTCAGTGGCCTTTATTGAATGCCTCAAAATGGAAAATTTTGTTTACATCTATTATTATAAACGTTAAATTCAATATGAAAATCAAAATTAAATCTCACCATTTTTTCATTTATCTGGCAAATAATCACGCTCCACTCGATATACCAAAGTACAAGCGGATATAAACAGTTTATAATCGCTTGCAAGGAATTATCATATCGGTCAGGCCTTGTTAAAACATCACACTTCTCATGTGCCGTATCAGATCTTTCACTTGAGCTTATGAGAAGTCCCGTTCGACATTTGAATAAATTATAATCAATTCCGACAGGCAATTTGATTTAACGAGGCAAGTCGAAAAAAAAAACACTAAGGTGCTAGATGGTCAAATTGACCAAATTAATTCATTCCACGCGCGCATGCGTAGTCGAGGGCTAGGTAGGCATGTCTGTGTTATACAGACACACCTTTACCTGGCAACTAAATGAAAAAAAAAAAAGTCTGGGTACTCGATGGAAAAAAAAAAAAAAAAAAAAAAAAAAAGGCCTGGCAACTTAATGGGAAAAAAGGTCTGGTGCTGATTAAGGAAATAAAAGAGGCAACGAAATCTCGTCTGTGAAAGATCCAAAGTTTACTTGAACGTTATTCTGACGCTTGGTGACCTTTTAATTGCATTTTCTAAGAGCCCTAATTGAACAGTAGAAAAGAGAATTTTAATCCAATTATGAGAGTTCAACGGAGTGCAGCGCAGGTCATTTGATTTTGTTCTCTCTTTGCAGCCGATTCAGTGGAGGTTCTCGATGCTGTCAGGCTGAGCATCACGGGCTTTTCTTTCCCGCCTTTTTCGAATCAGGGAAGAGCTCGGCACTCTTCTTGACTGCGCGGGAAAACAGATGGCAGCCATTCTTTTCTTCACGGTCATGTTAATGATAAACCATCCCTAGCGTCGTGAACAAAATATAAGTTCACTGAATGATGAAAAGTTTAAATTCGGTAAAAAATAGCTTATAATGATTGACACGGTAAAGTGCTTTGCGAATTTACGGTCCCCTCAGTTGACAAAACGCAGACATTTTGTTTACGGAAACCCAGTCATGATAGGCTAAGCAAACTCCTGCAGTCTTCAAGGGATCCTCTCAAGTGCCCCAAACAGGCTGTATTTGTGTGGTGCTGATCTTCGGAAATTTTAATCCAATTAGCTGTAGGGGTGTTGAGGAATTAAGTAAAATGTTGCCAGACTTTAATTCTTACGATTTTTGCGATTTTTTCACGTCCAAAAAATAAGCATGTACAAATGTCTCGTTACTACGTATAAAACATTTGAAACTCCTTTGATTTGCCAAGTTTTTAATCGTCTTTAAATTGGTGAGGAATGGATAAACTCTTGAGAATTTTAAGTGTCCTTACATCAGTTTTTTTATCAATTCTCTTGCGGTCGAAGAATAGTTGACGTCGTGAAGAAACCCAGTTTAATGCGTTCCGGAAGCTGCCAAGAAATAGTTTCTTTCCGTTAGCAGTTCAAAATTTGTGATAAGGTTGCCGATTGATCATAATTTGGGAAGCAGACTGTTAAAAAAATGAGACAATGAACCCCAGTGAAATCAAGTTTAGTCAAGTAAGGTTATTTTGAGACTCGGAACATGGCCTGTAACGGAAGTGGTGAGAGACGTGCATAGAAGCAGTGATTCTAGATAGACTTCTCACCTTCAGCCTTCAGCCGTTCTTACGCTAAAGTTCACACAGTTGTATTCACTTTGGGCAAAGGAGTTTTGATTAGACCATTTCCTTTACATTTTGATTACAGAATTCACATAAATGATGAGTTTATTCTTGCCGTTCGCAGTTGCCCCAAAGGCTACGCCGAGAAGTTACAACAAGAGTTTTTAGCTGAAAACCACTTTATCGCAACAACTAGACGAATACAAGTTAGGGCTTCTGAAAACCTGATCAGTTCGGAGAAAAGATCATAAGCATCCAGTGTCTGAATAATTAAACGCCGAGGCATGCAGTAGCTCGAGAGACGAGCTGCTTGAACCCCGACCGACAACTTGGCCATGTAGAGATGTAGATTTATTGCTTTAAGGTTACTTAGCGAAACGTTACCAATGCTTCGTATTATTCGAAACAAGATATAATTTACAGTGTAATGATACAGCCCTTCTGTTTTAAATATACAAACAAAATTTCATCACTCGTCATGAGTTCCGAAAAGAGTTTGAAGAGGATGACGACAGGGATGGTTCAAATGCGAGATAATCTTGGACTTCAATTTCATCCGTCTAATTGAGTAAGAGGAAGTGGTCTCCAGCTTAGACGATTGACTGACAGCTAAATCCGAGTACATTACATAAATCCCTTATTTCCGCGGACTATTTTTGAACGGGTTTGGTTTTCCAGCGCGGAAGCTTCGCTTCGATGTTTCGTTCAGCAATAAAAAAAATAGCTTAAAAGAACCTAAAACGTCATTAAATACAAAACAATACGTGATTTTTTTTAGAATAACAACGGATTCTTTCTGAAGAAGGTAGATAGAGAAATAGACACGAAATTTGCGGCTGTAAGCATGATTTTTGCGGCGTTGTAACAATACGTACTGGATCACTCCTACGGAAACTTAGATTACTGTGAGGTACGCTATTTTGGGAAAGTGCTTCGCCGGATGCAAAATTTGTCTCAGAAATAGACTTAGCATGGATTCAGAAAAATAAAAGCTAATCACTCTGCATGATGGGAAGGTATTTTAGAGTTTGACGATACATTAAAGCTTTCACAAATTAATTAAACCTGAAAATTTTCATGTTGCTCATCAGCTGTAGTTCATCTAGCGCTGTACCATTGCCTCTTTCGAAGGTCTGAGGTGATGACTTTTACGGCTAAAGTTAAAAATTTGGCCATGTTACAGATCATGGTTAATTCTTTTCAAATATTGTTAGGAGAAAAATTTTCACAGTTAACTTTTTCACGACTGACTGTTGAAACTTGTCAATTTTTACGTCTAACGGCTTAATCTTTCTGCAGTCTTACGGCTAACGGCCAAAGCCATTGAGACTCGCTCTTTAGTGTCTCTGTCTTATCGATCCATTATTATGGTGGTCTCCTTGCATTCGGAGGAGACCACCATAATTTGCCTTATTGGCTTACTTAAGATTCATGACACAACTCCGTAAGGGAATTACGAGAGATATAATTTAATTGGACGTGCATGCAGAATTTCAGGAAAAGCGGCCTAGGTAATTACCTATTTTTAGATCAGTGGATATGTACCGCTCTTTGGAGTTAATTTGACAACTGCGTTGACTATCGATGGCAAACGAAAGGCAACTTTTTAACCCTGCTGACTCGATGACTTGAAAATGGAGCGAGCTTCATAGCAGGAGTATATGTAGGGACGCTATGCAACGATTTTATACACGAAGAATGGTTAACGTTTGCAACTGACCAAGATCATCGGTGTAATTGGATTTTTTTAATGGTCGAAATGGGTAAATTTGAGGGGGGGGGGGGCAACTCGGTAATTCTGATCTTTGGAAGTCGTGAAAGTGAACCACGGTGATTCAGATCAATACTTCGGTCTCTATATTCGTTTATCATTAACTGAATAAAAAATAACATTATATTTCTCTTAAAACAGGTCAAACAATTTGTGCGTTTTCAATTTTGTCGTTTTTAACTTTACTTATCTCATCGCTCAAATTTTTCCCAACGAATCTTTACTTTTAAGTCAGATGTAGTTTTCTGGAAATTGAGCTTTGATGAGCGATGATATCACGATGATTCAGTATCCTTTATATATGTTTCAACTACATGATATTTTATGAACGATTTAACCAGATATGATTTCTATGAAAAATTTTGCTCTGATTTCAAAGCTTTAATTAGTAATTAATTAATAATCAATTAATTAATAATCAAGAAATTAATTTTCTCAGATTCCTTTAACAATCTCAAATTTGTCCACTTGAGCCATAAAATACCTACCTTTCCCAATTCGTTCAAACATTCATCGTAATGGCAAAATGTTTGTCTTGTGTGGTTTGTCTTGGTACGAAAATTCAGTTAAAAAAAAGAAACAGGAGCAAATATACAAGCTTAACCAATAGATACCTTTCTCCCATAGATCGCATGACATTTGAACGAAAAACTCTCCTGCGTAAATGTTCATGCTCACAGACAGGAGGAAAAGTAATCTTTAACTTAAATAAATTGATTATTTTCCAATAATCTTGTTTTCTAAAGCATTTTTCGCAGCGCTTCTTTCAATATCTCTGAAGAAAATATAACACTGATATCAAAACACTCACAGGAAGTAGGCGTCTTTCAAATTCAAACATATTTTCAGTACTTAAGTTTTATTTTAGATCCGGTTGACACAAAAAATTGCTGCCAACATTTGCCACTTCTGTTATCTAGTTCCCGCAGCGATCTGTTAGTAAAGAGTATTTTTTAACATGTCTTGTGCGGAAGGGTTTGTGGCTTCCTAATGACCTGTGCTTCTTACCACGTCAGTATAACTTAATTTTAATAATCGTTCCCTTCCGCACATAAAACGGCTTGTCTGGCACGAAAACTGTCCATCACGACAATCATTTATTTAAA